GGCAAAAACAGTTGGTTTACCAACTGCTATCGTTACTCGAATGCTTGTTGACAGTTCGTTGAATTTCGTTTTTTTTTGTTTTCAAGTAATCATTGAAATTTAATTTTTCTCTTTAGACGAAATTTCGGATCGTGGTGTTGTTGTACCAGTTAAGCGTACAATTTATCAACCTATTTTACATGAACTTAAACGTGAAGGAATTGCATGGACTGAAAAAACAATTAAAAAATAATTAATTAGTTTTCAAGTTTCTTTTTGTTGTGATATTAATTTTAGTGTGTTTTTATATTAATTAATGGAATTATAAGGGTCTGGCTAAATAGAATATGCTAATAGCATTTTTTTAAAATCGATTAACATAATAGACAGATGGTATAGAATATAACATATTTCTCACACTTTGTAATCAATTATTATATAAGATATTGTCTACAAATATCTCTGATCTATAATTATAGCTGATTATGAGAGGATTCTTGAACATTTATTGTATGCCAAACAACCCTATTGACATTGAATAGAACACGACAGAGGAAGAAAAAATTGAGATGGCAGTTAGAGCACAATTATATATATGTATAAATAAAGGATGTTACTATATTCAATAGAACATCGACAAAGAAAGAATGGGAGGTGATGATGAATTCTCGTCTTGATATGGTTTGAGTGTGCTTTTTCTCATATCAGCAATCTATATATATATACATATATACATAAGAGAAGAAATGAATAAATTAGTAATGCCACATTCTTCTCTTTCTATGTTACAAAGAAAACAGAAACAATGTTCATCAGTCGCCGGAAGCTTCTCATACGTTCAAAGATGGGTGAATGATCATTGTTGATGTTCGATACCATCATTACAGAGAAGTTCGAATGACGGACACAAATGGTGATAATCATCCAGCTCTCTTGTTCTCTTGTACACGTTTATCTTCTTCTTCTTTTCTTCATCTTATATGTATGTCGTTTACTAGGGTTTGTGTTCTATATCTTGTAGAAGAAAAAACGAGTTATCATCCTTGATTATTCCATCAGAAAAAGCTAAGCGACATGGCCTTCTTTTTCCTCTTCGGAATTTTTTTCCATTGATTAAGAAGAAAGAAAAAGATGCCAGTTTTTCTTCCCTCAACGATATTTATCTAGTACCCTTGTTGTTATTACTCGAACTCAACTATTATGAATGAATAGTACAGAGTTTCGACTGTAATATATATATAATTTCATACATCTATCAAAAATCAAGTTAATAATGGTGAGTACATATGCATCTTCGGACGAACTTTATCATTTTAACTTGGTAACATAGCTGATAAGTATAAATGAAAGATAAGTAAAATTATCACAATAAAAATATTTTGAACAAGCTATACAATGAATAATATATGTATATTTATATATATATATCATTTCATCATTTTTAGACTTCAATTGTAAAAATGAATGCAATTAATCGACTTGATGTTCTTTTATCTGATATTCTTAAAACCGAACCATCAACATCAACTAATGGAATTAGCCAAGGAGCTGCAAAACAACCATTATCCAAATTGACATTTCCAGAACATAATTCGTATCCTTCACCAGTATTGCCTTCAGGCATTATAACAACAGCACCATTACCACCTCGTCGCAATTCTTCATCATTGAAACATCATCATCACCATCGACATCATCATATTGACCAATATGATAAACAAAAACAATCTAAACCACTTTTAAATTCTTCAACATTAGATGATTTATTTCGTGCATTAACACTTGAATGTGAGCAATATCTAGCTGCCACATCTTCTCATCAAAATAAAACATCTAATTCAATGATTGTTCAACCTTCAACAAAAATACAAGCATCTGTTGAATCCAATGATGATGATTATGAAAATTTACATATATCAAAAACTGTAAAATCAATAACAAATAATTATTCTCCTCTTAAAACAAGTATTGAAGTCATAAGTCCAATAAAACGACATGTTGTTTCAATAACAATCACATCAAAAATATCGTCACCTCAGATAGTATCTCCTGTAAAACCTTCTTGTAATACTACAACAACACCACCAATAGCTCCACCAACAACTCGTCATTCAAGTGACGATGATGCTATTGATCTATCGTCATCAAGTACAAATCGTAAACGTCGTCGTCGTGCTCGTAAACAAATTGTATCATCATCGATAACTCGATCAAGTTCATCATCAAATGAACGAAAAGAAATAATTACAGATAAAAAACCAATAATTTCAAAACGTTCATGTAGTACAGATCCTCGTTACCAACGTAATAAAAATTCTTATGATAATGATTTTATATCATGCTCATCGCCTCAAAAACAACGTACAAAACGTCCACATCGACGTGATGTTTCATTACAACATTCATTACCATATTCAGAACGGTATCGTGAAAATCATTCATCACCATTATCTGTTCTATTAACATCAACAAAAGTAACAAGTGATTTTTTCGATAATTCACATCAACGACAACAAAGACGTTCACGTCTTGAGTCAGTTAATCATAAACCATCGACATTGCTCGATCGTATGCATCAACAATTATATCGACCATCAACAATACGAAACAATAATAATAATAATAATAATAATAAAAAGAACACTAACATTCCTACACAACAAATACCATCATATCCAGTTTATTGATATGAAAAATACTCAGAGAAAAAAAATTAGTTTGGTGTTACAAATATAAAATGATATTCGTCAATGCATTATTTCTTTTTATTCCAGTTGTCCATTCCATAATTTGAATGTTATCATTAATTCAATGGTGTTAATATGATAAAACTGCTAATCTTCTCCTCCCCCTCTAATAAAAGGATAAAAAAGCACGTACTAGACACAAGTGGCATATCGTTTATTTACATTACTAAAGACAGACAAATCAAAGTTCTTTTAATACATTTGTCATATGTAGGATGTTTAATATATCCTATAGATTTCTATGAAATATTTTCATATTTCTTATGTTATAAATGTTGAATGAAGTGATTTCAATTGATGTATGATTAGATTAGTAAATTAATTTAATTTGACATTTTGTCAGTCTTCTGTTTTTTTTTCTTTTGTTTTCTTTGTCATTTTTTGAAGTGAAATTATTATTAATCATGTTAATATAAGTTAAGATTTACAATAAATAGATGAATGTTTCATTTAGTTTAGAAATTTTGTTTTTTGAACAATCGAAATTCTATATTCAAATGATTGCTAATTTCACCACAACTAAAGAACATCTACATTGGAATCAAATGATATCTTCATTCGTTATACGAGGAATATTTTAGAGTGCATAGAATAAGAAATGTATCTATATATTTTTTTTTTATGAATCATCAAATTTTATTTCTTAAAATCTTTTCTTCATCTGAAGCATTATTTTTTTCTAAGCATCTTATGGTTATTTTATATGTAGGACCAACTACCTGAATTGTGAAAAATTACAAATAAATTAAACATTTTAAAATTTTACTTATCTAAACATATTTTAAATATATTACAACGGACGCAGATTATGATATATTTTCCAAGGACGATTTAATATTTATATTTGTTTACCATCATAATAGCCTATCGCTTTTGTTACTGTATCTTTGTAGAAATGAAGAGATTTACTAGTAAATTCAACCCCATATTTTTTTTAAGATTGATTTTCAAGTTTATATTTCTTGTATATGAAAAATGATAGATAATGAGAAATTAGTATTTTTACATTTGATCTTTATAAACATCTGAAAATTCTCTATTGAAGTGATAGAATGAGTTCTTTATTTTTCAAATGAATAATATTTCTATGCATAATTTATTTATATTTATACGTCACAAAAACTATGCACGATGCAAACTAGTTGTAGAGTCGAGAAAAAAATTCTAGCAAGGAGACTAGCTCTCATTTGCCTCCAATCTTCTCTTGGATCCACTGATAATGTGAACATCATTCTTCCTTTCGTTAGTAAATAAAAACAACAACTTCAGCGTTTATCTAACATTAATATTATTATTAAGAGAATATTGCACAGAACTGAAGAAAATTTTCTTAATCTATGCTATTATGTGACATTGAGTCATCTGTTTGTATATGAAATTATTACTATCAACTGTTGACGTACGAATTTGTGTATGTAAATAAACGACTCTCATTTAATTGAATATTATAGTGTCTACATGTAATTCAATAATCATTTTTAAGTCTTCCATACAAATTCGACTTGGTCAGTAAATATTTTCAAACTAATCTTGCTTGTTATTTCAATATATAATTTGCTTCTTGAAGTTGTACATTCAAACACAACATTACAGAGTAATCAAGCAATTGATGGTAAAAATGTATATTTCTATGAATTGCTAACAATATATATGAAATAAGTAATCAGAAAATCAATCCTTCATTATTTAAAAAAAAAAGAAAGAAACGTTATAATCACTTTTCCTTTATACTAAATAATCGTAGGTCATTTTCTGACATTTCATGTTTACATTAGACTTGAAATCTATTATTTAATATTATGCTTCATTTTCTCACTTATTACTACACCTCTAAATGGATATACTTTTGTTTGATTAGATAGAATAGTTTATGTCTCGTTCATAAGTCTTCTAGCAAAATAATGTTATATATATTGAGCAAATAGCTATACTTTCCGAGAATATGTTAGTTCGTCATTTATGGCATTTGTAACAAATCATCTAGCCAACCAGAAGGTCTGTAGATAAATGACGATTATTGCTTTTCTTGTCTTATTCTATAACCTTTGACTTCACATTACGACATATTAGATAGAAATACGACGTTGGGCGTTATCATACAACTGGAATCATCCAGTCTTTTTTTCCAGGGTGCAAGAAACAAATGTATGATTGATGCTATTTTCTGTTTCTCTCTTTGCAGCATATATATTTATGCGCACAAAGTACAGGGGCAATCCATATCAGTCTTTTCTCATCGTCCGCACGTATTGACACATTGATCTCAAGACTACAATGCATCTTTTTTTATTCTCAATCTTTGCAATATGTATTGCAGGTTAGATTTAATTTGAAGTTTTTGAACAAATGTATACTCAAAGAATCTAAACAGGAGGCAAAACTCAAGAAATTGCTATTGGTACTGAATATTTACGAGCTAATTTCAATAATTCTCTTCCATCTGAATCAGGTTGGTCGATAAGCTCGATCAAAAACATTAAAAAATTTATATAAATATACATCAATTATAAAACGAAACAAGATTTATGACTTCACACATTTCTTACGCCTTCTGTATATTCTAGTAATTCATGCACAAGAATCAGAATCCTCATCAAATGGAGTTGTTGTTGATGATACAACAAGTGAGATTATAAAAATAAAAGTAATTTAATAAAAAAACATTTATTTTTTTCAGCAACAACGCAGGCACCGAAAGATCATAATCATGATGATCACCATCATCACCATCTTCATGGTGATCACGATCACAGCTCAGGTAAATAATTCAGATTGTTATATACTTGTATTTGTTGTTTCTATTCAATAGAAAATCATGATGATGATCATAAAAAACATGGTCATGAACATCATTCTCATCATCAACATGGTGCAACAGTCACCATTGATGTTCATCATATTCTCGATATATTCAAACGACGATTAGAAGCAACTGAAGAACGTATTATTGCTGCTATTCAACAAGGTCAATCGTCAAACTCAGCACCAGTCGTGAAATCTTATCGCACAGCCGACCGCAACAATGAATAAAATAACTCTTCAATTATATATATATATCAATATAAATATATTGCAACAGAAAGAAAACACTTTAAACTCCTATACGCTTTCTTATATGCTTTAAATTCATTTTAGCTTGGGTTAGTTCATGTTTTAATGTTCGACATTCATTTTCAGCTTGATTTCGTAACTAAAACATAATAAATAGATAGATAATAAAAGAACAATGTGTTTTTGTTTTACAATAATTACTTTAATATCTGTGGTTAATCGTAATTTTGCTAGATCAAGTTGATGACGAATATCCAGAATTTCCTGTTGAGTACGCGTGATTTGTAAAATGAAATCCTTAAAAAAAAATTATATTCTAATAAATCGAATAAGATATTTTGACTTGCTCCAACTTCTGCTGATTTTAAATGACCCGTTTGTGCTGAATGCTTAGATTCTTTGTCAATAATATCTAGGATTTTTTTATTTATTTGATCTAATTCAGTTTTTAATTGTGTTGATTGTTCTTCTATTGATGCAGTTTTTTTCTTTTCTTGAAAATATTTTTTTTTCCACATATCACGTGCTGAAAATAAAATTAATTGATTCATTTATGTAAACGAAAAAAATCAATCGAACCTTCTCCTCGTCGTAATGTTATTCGACTATGCACATATTTCAAATTTTTGATAACTTCCCCATGAGTTTTTTCAAGATCAATACGATTAGTTTTTAATTCTTGAAGACGATTACGAAGAGATTCAGCTAGAAAAATAATTTCTTTTTCTGTTTGAAATCGTTTTAAAGTATTTGTAATTTAAAAAAAAGAAACCTTATAAGTACAAGAATATTTATTAAGCAATAAAAACTGAAGTACATAGTACATGTTTTATGTTTGTATGTACCGTAATAGAACAAAGCGAGTAAATATGAAAGTTTCTATTATGAATAATATGTTTAAGATGACAAATTCTTAACAAAATCGTAAAAGATTGAATAGACTTATTCTAATTGTCAATGAGAAAACTTTGGCAATAACTTTTCAGTTCAATGTTATTAAGATGAATGCTATTTGAAATATATTAAAAGCCGGATGGTAGAGTCCGTCGAGTCCGAAAATTTTGGATCCCGTTTATAGAAAACTTTCATACTCGAATCCGACTGGATTTTGAACCAACCCGATGGGCTCTATCCCCAGTGTTTTATTCAGCGTGCGAGTCGAGCACATGGTGGCCCTTCGAAGATCGAGTTGGCTCTTCTGAAGTTTATGGTTACTTTATCATGTACTATGTGTCTGTGTTTCCAAAACTAGGGGTTCACCTTTCTGAAGACAATATCCGGATAAAACACTATTTATCGGATGAAAACATGATGCATCATAGACATAAAAGTCGTCGTATTTTTCTCCTATAGTGATAAATTGTTGCAACGCTCAAAAATAATTGCGCTTCATAGCAATTGGAAAGAGTATGCGAGGTGACCAACTATTGATCAGTTTCGAATTTAAGATCAAACGTAAGTCAATCAGTCGGTTGAGAAAACATTTTCAATAGATAATCAATGCGTCGTTTCCAGTTAAAGTTGCTATTATTGAACAACTATTAGACATTCACGAAAAAATTTTTTAATTGACATAAATAAATAAATACTGGGTTACAGTGACAATGAATAGTCTCAGTTTTTGTACTAAAATATCAAAACATTGATTTATTATCAATACGAAAATATATGGAATCGGGAATATCTATGAATTCTTTTTGGACAGAAAACGCATATAAGCGTGTCCCGTTCTCAGAATAGTTCAGATCTATTAATGCGTACTATTCATCATTAATGTAAGTGATATTTTTCTATGATTTAGTACAAGAAATATATAGATGTGCCACACTACCTTTGAAAAAATTCATAACGCTAATTAACTTTGCAATTTCGAATATTAAAAAAAAACAAAAGCAAAATAATAACACATACGATCTTCATGTTGTTGTTGAGTTAATTTTCGTTTTCGTTGTTCTTCTAAGTCTTTGGTTTTTCGTTTTTCTTCTTCTAACTGTCGACGTCGTTTAGTTTCTATCTCTTGTTGTGCTAATTCATATCTATGAATTAAAAAAAAGGACCTTGTTTAATTTTGATTAGATCAATTATTTATTAACATTTATAGGTAAAACGAACACAAACACTTATACAAATGCATTTATTCGATACATTAATATATTCCATTACTTACGTATCATCATCACTATTTGGTGTTGCTAGTGGTAAAATATCGTCTTCTGAATAACGTATTTTAGTAACTGTTGCACTTCGTATATTTTCATCATCAAGGTTATTAGTTACATTAGTTTTTAAATCAGATGATATATTCGATTGAATTTTTCTTTCAGTTTTTTGTGATAAAGATGATGGTGATGATGAATTCGAATGTATACTTTCTGTATCTTGTTTTTTTATTGTTCTAGTTTCTGTTCGAGATGAATTCGAATCAACATCTGATGTTGATTCAATCGATGATGAGAGAGATAAAATTTGACTAGGAAAAGAAAAAAAGATGAGATAAGAAAGAAAATTAAATTTTTACAGACAATACAAATATGCATATCTAAGAGAACAACATACACATATATTTTTGATTCCGAATTTTTCGGACAAAACATATCTGTATAGTGCGAAATATTCGTTAGAAATTCGTGAGATTACAACATAAAACAAACCCATCAGAAAATTCATCATCATTAATATTCATATTTTTCTCATTTTTTATTGATTCTTTATTGGATGCATTACTTTTCGATGATGAAATTCGAGAATCATTTTTTATAACACTGAAGACATATAAAGACGATTTTGAGCGACATTTTTTCAATAAAAACAAATAATAAAACAAATATTTACTTTCGCTGAAGCTTTTGATATGTTTTACGGTCTTTAAAACCACGAAATGATGCTTGAATTTTTGTAGCAGCTCGTGTCTGTTGTTCTAAACGACGACGCTCAGCTTCGACTTTTTCTTGACGACGACGACGTCGACGTTCTTCTTCTTCATGTTCTGGATTAAGTTTCTTTTCTTCAACAGCTCGACGCAATTGTTCTAGTTCAGCTTGACGTCGACGAAGACGTTCTTGTTCCTCTTGTAATTTGAATAATTCCCTATATAATAATCATGTTTTCTTCTAATTACATGCAAATATAAAAGAGTTTTAAGACAAAAAATATCACAATACTTTGTTATTTTAATTATTTTACAAAGAAATGCAACACATTTTAACTATTATACCTTGCTGTAATATTTGTCGTGACGGAAAGGCTAGAAGACAAAGTATTTCGATTATTTTCGTTTGCTTTGATTTGAAAAACTTGAATCAAATTTGTTAGCGTGTTTTGTTCTTTACTTACTTTGGTGATGATTCGTCTAAATCGAACAAAAAAACAAAAGTTGTATTTATTATAGAATAAATCTTCAGTTGTAATTACCTGAATCGTTTCGTGTAAACTTTGTCCAATTTCGTCTACCTGATGATGGAAGACGAGATGTTAAATCGTTTGTATTTGTTTTCGGTAAATTTTTTTTTTCATCATGTAGTGGTCTACGATGATGATAATTAGAAAATCTCGATGGTGATTGACCATAATCATCAAGATTCAAACGACCATGATGACGATGACCAAATAAATAACTAGCAGAAGATATTGTTGGAGAAGCAGACGGTGTAAATGCATAATCTTCATGACGACCTTCGAGGAGATAAATCTAATTAAAGCAATAATTTATATAATTTCTTTTTTATTTTGAAAAAGAAAACTTGTACCTCTGATGCATATGTCTAAATGAAATAAATTACTCTTATATTTTTTTTATATGTAGAAAAAACAAATATGCTAACCAGTGGTGGTCGATAATGTTTAACTTTTAATTCATCTTCTTGTGTTTGTTTAACTCTTGTTAAACATCTTCCAACAGATCGAAGAAAAATAAAATCTCGTGGAAAATCATTTTCAGTGTCACATAATCGTTCAATTGATTCACGTAAATGATGTAGTTTCATATCTGGTGGTACTCTAAATTTTGAATAAAAAAGAAAAAAAAGTTCAAAAATATATTCAATTATCGTTACCGAACAAAACCAACTGATATAGCATCATCCATAGCTGCATTTTGTGCTAAATGTTGAACATTTTTCCAAACAGATTTTGGAATAATATATACATGTAAATCAACTAGCTGTTCACGTGAAAAGGAAAATTCATTAAAAAAAAAGAAGAAAAAAATGAATTTTTATAAAATACTTGTGCAGAGTCTGGACGATTAGTAGCAATAAAACCATTTCGTGATCGATTATTTGTTAACGTTTTTGGTAACGAATTGAGTTGCTCGTTTTCGAAACGTGTTTGAAGCATTGTTGTTTTTTTTACTACTACTCAATTGTTATGATCACTCAATTATAAACGAACAATGATTAATATAAGTTTGCGTGATGAGTGCCGTCAATCCTTTTCTCTTTTTGAAAGTTTTGTTGTTATTGAATTGTAAATGAATGCGATGTTTCTTTTCTTCTTGACAACTTAATATATTGACGTACATACAAACATACAAATAAATTCTGTTTTTTTTTTCTATTTTCTATTTAAAGCGATTTGAATACCTTCAATATGAAAGACTTTTTTTTTTCGTTTGCATTTTTTCATCTTCATATATTTGTACATTTTTTTAATATTTTATTTAAATACATCATAAAAATTGTTATTCTATTTAATCAATCGAATAAGAACTTTGCACTTGACGTAACAAAAAAGTAAAAAAATTGCGCTTCAAGTGATGTTTATCAATTGAAAGATGAATCGAGGCAAGCTTTTTTATTTGTTGATTGATACAACATAGAGTAGGCAAACATATCTGTGTGATAAGATGTTCTAACTGGATGGGGGTAGCATGAGAGCGGAAAAAAAGATATAATCTTATTGGTACTGCTACGTGTATATATATGCATGTAAATACAAAACGCTATTCATATTACTTGTCCTTCGATTGTATCAAGCAACAATTGCGAGAAATCTAATGGCAAACAGTCGACTACTTAGTGAGACTAGTTATTTTGTATTTAAAAATTATTAATTATTGTGTTTTAGTATGTGTGACAATCATGATGATGATGTTTCTTTTCATTGAACAATCACATGAAGTTTATATTGATTGTCAAGCACGTTGTATGTTAGCAACGCGACATGAACGCAATAGAGATAGATTACAAACGTGTCGTGAGGAATGTGAATTATTTGAATTACTTGAGCAAGAAGATGGAAAATATTACAAGTATAAATTATTTAATTGAACAATTTTAATTCTTGAAATAGAACAAAAAAGAATTTTATTGCTATTCTATTCATGTAGAATTTCTAAGGTGTAAGGGCAATGAGTCGACTTTTTTGTATTTTATTTGTATGCATGTATTATTATTTAATAAAAAGTTGACAATAGTCAAGCTATAACCATTTGAAATTAACATGTCTAATTTGAAAAAATGATTGAATATGTTATTGTGACTATGGATATGTTAGAAAAAGCACGAGTCAATTGTCATATTAACCGGAAGAAAAAAGTGATCTCTTCTTTTTTTTCAACGATTGAATTCCATATGTTGACTTCATTATATTAGAAGACATTTGCAAACATTTGTGACAGATAAACATTTGTCAACACCAGTATGCATCAACGACAAAAATATCCTCATATGAGATTACGTGTTCTTTCAGTATAACTCATTTAAATAACATTTGCACATTAATTAGAATTTATACAAGTACAATGACAAAATGAGATATATATATATATATTATAATCAATGTAAAATCAGAATTTTTTCTGTGGACTGATCAATTCGATGAGTGTGTTGAGACAGCAGATTAATCATATCTATAATAAACTTTCTTGAATAATCAGAACATGGAAGCATTTTTCGTCATGTGTAAAATGAGTATATCATAAAAATTACAAAACTTGTCATTCTATTTCGAGTTACTACAGGAAACTCATTTTGTCTTATAATGTCTAATTGTTTATGCACATACAAGAAGCTTCTAGAAAAACATATTCTAAAGAGCTTTTAGTTACAAGAAAAACATGATCATTATCGGATAAAATATTCGAAGATTATAGAATAAACATCTGTAGTTCTGTCTATTAGACATTCCATATCGAAAAAATTCTTTGTTATGAAGAAAAAATATGTCCTCTTATAGTTTGTACTATGCAATATAAAATCAAATAAAAAAAACTGGAAGGAATAAATTTAATTTAATTTTTCCTTTAATCTATAAATTCATTCGATTCATGTAATATATCATCTAACAAAATATTGATATGTATAAGGGAGAATCAGACTTATGATCTCATTAGATTTTATCAATGTAATCTACTCGTTAGTAGATGATTAGTCAACTAAAGTGAAATGATATAAAGACAAATGTTTGTTTTTTCGATTGACAAGTTGTTTATCAATTTTCTCTTTTTTTCCGCATAGGAATAGCATTGTTTAGTGTTGCCCTCTGTCGAGATGTATGACTAACAAGTATCAAAAAAATTATACTTCTTTTTATTTGTTCACTTTTCCTTGTTGACTTTAGATTAGATGAGATTAGTCACGCATTTTACTACCTTCTATCGAGCAAATAACAATCTCAATTACTGACGTCACTACCGTACGAAAATAATACATTTTCGAATAGAAAAACGATGCTTGTCAAACACTTAGCTGAACCATGGTTTTCTTTAATTTATTGTGGAAAAAAGACAATTGAAACTCGTCTTGATAAAGGTCATTTTCATGAATTAAAACCACAAGATACAAGTAGAAATTTTCGTTTAATAAAAACTTTGTTTTCTTATTTCTACATTCTATTTTTCTTTAGTTGAATTTTTCAATGACGATTTAGGTTTTAATGTACGTCGAAAATTTTGTGTACGAGTTATATCAATTGAACAATTTGATACATTTGAATCATTATTAGAAAAACATCTTTCAAATGCTCTACCAACTGTTAAATCAATTGAATTTGGTTGTTTAATATTAAAACAATATTATTCTAAAGATAATGAATTTGACAAATATAAAAAATTAGCGATTAATATTGAACGTATTAGTGCAGTTGTGAATGAATTACGTTCTTCAACAACTTCATGTTAACAGAAGTTTCAATCGATTCATTTAAAAAAATGATTTATCTCTAAAGCGTCTTTCATCGATCATGAACTAAATGGTTGCTCATTTTGTATAAGTGAAAACTAAAGAGCACTAATGGTCACTCAGGAGAATTTCAAATATTTTTGATTTGAACTAAAAGTAAACCTTTAGAGCCAATTAGATTTTTTATATTAAATAAAATCTCCTTTTAATCATGTGATACTTTATATGTTCTGAAACAGTTAAGTATAAGAATAACACTACTTATTTCTATATGTACCAATATTTGGACTGCTTCATTGTGCATTCTCAAACTTTCTTGCTAGTCATTTTGTATCTCATACAGTTTTATTCGAAAAAAAACGATCTAATGTATCGCATATAAACATGATCAACCTATGACTTTATTTCGTTTACTTCAAAAAATATCATATTGAGAGCATCCGTTGTCTTTGGTTATTAACTACCAGTTACGAATAAGCTTAAGCTAATCAAATAGACTGTGCTCGAACATTGAACGATACATTGAATCTTGTTTTTCGTTTTAATAGAAATAATATATTTATGTTATTTTTGATGTTGATTAATCAAGCCAATTGGTAAATCTTAGCAAATAAATCTAACTGACTTCATCGATCAATCGGACATCTAAACTATTCAAACAACAATTATGTATATCTTTAATGAAAACTTTCATTCAGTACAATATATTAGTTGATTAGACAAACGTACAGAATCTATCTGTGTCTGCTGACACATGTTGAGGAAAATGTTCCAAGTTTGGGGAAACAATTAGTGGTATGAAAATTTTTTCATTTAGGAATTCGAATTAACAAATGTTTTCATTGAAGTAATAAGAGTATAAGCTTCGTACATAATTTCTGTGATTTTGTTTTAATTGCAATAAGAGAAAGCCTTTCGGTTACTATCAGATTCTGCATGTTTATATGATATTTAAATGTACAGATGTTAAAAGTATATGTGCTTTGTCACGAAATACTTATGCAAAAAAAATATTTCCAACAATAAATTAGTTCTTCAATCTAGCTATGCTGAAAAATGTTTTGTTTTGATGTTATTGCAGATAGTAATCATTTATTTTGGCATAGATTGATAAACAATATTTATCCGTATCTGACAAAAATAACAGTTGGATGATATCAAGTGCCGATAATCAGTATGAAAAAGCATGTCGCTGAATATCTGATGATTCATTTGAAAACGATTATGTCAACATTATGACAGACTATGATGATGATCAAAAAAAATGTTAAGTAAAAAGTATTGAATTATTATCTGATATACTCAATGAATTTGTTAATAATAGAAGGTTTCGAATCTTTTGATCGAATAAGGAATATCATCAGTCTATTCGGTAATATACCATTGAAGCTGATTTTGAATAACGTATTTCCTTAGATGAAATTGGATTTCCATTTTTTATTTTATGTAAACTGCAAAATCATGTGAAGAACTGACAAGTGTCACTTCGACAGAATATTACCTAGAAATCTGACTTCTTATCAGTGGGATAACAATTGTCATAATCTCGATATTAATTTTTACAATGCAATCAATCAAAGGGTATTGAAAGAAAAAATATCAATACGTTATTAGTTACGAGATATTCTATCAGAAAATCAACAAATGTTAATGTTATAGGTTTTTAACACTTAAAATGTCCACTATGAAAAAGTGATAATATCTTTCATTTCATTGAAAGCAAATATTGATATAAAGAAATAGTGACATTTTTCTCCGAGAATTGTTTTGAAGAACATGTGATACAAAAGTCTTTGTACAAATGTCAAACTCTGCTTCATCATATTGCCAACTTCTAAACTAATCAATTTTTTTAGTTAGGAAGAGCAATGTTGAACTACAAATTTTGTACCAGATATATGTTTCCAGAATGAATCTAAGAAGTAGGAAAAGCCAAAAACTAAACATCCTCAAAAAATTTCTTGCAACTTCACCATCATGCAACATCATTTTCTATTTTCTGTTAATTTTTTTATATCAGAAGAGAAATGAAAAACCATGTTTAATCATAAGTTCTGTAGCATTAAGAGGACTCTTACCCATGGTGTATTGGAAGCTAAATTACTCCTGATTTTTATATCAAAATATAGCTTTTTTCTCAAAGAGACTGTGTAATTTGGTCATACGTCCTACCTGATCGTTTTGCAACAATAAAAAACTTTTGTTGTTAACTTTTTT